TTGATACAAAGCCAAAGAAAGAAAAAAAAAAGCATAAAAATGTGCCATTACAGGCGAACCTATGGAACGGAGTGGAGAACCACGTAAACCCAGTACTTCTGGAAATTCCAATTTGAGTCCATCGCAAGAATTGATTACACTCCCACCAAGTTTTGCCAATAAGTAATAGCGGGGTCGAGAATTAGGAATACCTAATTGTAAAGGCGTTAATATAAATTCCTGTAACTGACTTTGCTTAGCTTAGACCTAACTGAAATCAAAGAAAATAAAGTACAACAGTATGATATTAAACTTTCTATTTATCTGTGCTACAACAGACAGTCCAAAATTCATGAAATAATTCCAACATGCACTTTTCGTTTCCATACTGATTACTAAAAGCAGATACGTGAAAAGTTTACTTCAAACACGTATCCTGTTTCTGAAAGAGCTTTTCTTAAAACGTCACATGCCATTGATGTCTCAAAACCGCAAACGTTTTCTACCATGACAAAACTTGGCGGGCCGCGCATATTTCGCAGCTCATGGCATAAATTCAAGAGGCCATCACAGCGACGATCGCGCAGGTCAAGACGAACTCCTTTGCTACATCACAAAATAATAGAAAACTTTATATAACTTCACATTTTACAAATTACTAAAAAATACTTTACGCTTAATAAACCATCAGTTTATTTAACTTAATTTACGGGACAATTGCATTCAAAAACGAAAAAGACGACGCACCGAGTGAACGGTTGACACGGGGGAGAAAGTACCCACACATCTGCATGAAAGCTATCCAGAAAGCCGGAGGTAAGAGCCTCAAAACACACACAACGGTTAAAGGACAAACCCATATAAGATCAGAAAAAAATGTAACCCAGTTGAAAGACAATTTGATATCTGCAAAAAATACACTCAATTTTCTTCTAGAAATACATAATAGCTAGAATTAAAACCTGAATATTTTTTTGATAAACTTTCGTGTCCGGAAAATTAGCTTGATAGATTGTATTTGTTACAGGATTAATGTCAAAAGCTGCCAACACTCGGCATCTTAAACCACCATCTGGAAATATACAAAATTGCCAGTCGATTCCTTGATCAGAAGTTAAGTATTTATGTTGAAGGTGAACTAGAAGAAAATGAATAAACTTGAAGTTAACAAAAAAAAAAAAAGGCAAAAACTTCATAAAATAGCTTTTTTAGGCCTGAACTATACAGCTCTAACAGGCATTAAGGTTACTATTTCAACTTTTGCAGTCTAAAAAACTGGTATTTTTGAAGACATCGGGTCCTTGTAGATTGTGTTTATCAGATGTGCTTTATAAAACTTTATTGCTCAATTGCAAATTGGAAAAATACAATAAATTAACAATAACTTAAGACAAAAACGTGTACAAGCTCAATCAGTTCAGTAAAACAAAGTTTCTCAAAATTATTCCAGAACTGCAAGAGCTTCAGAATATCTTTAGCCTGCTTCCTTTAATAGATAATGTATATATGTGAAAAAACCAGTAGGTGAAAATCTTGAAGCATGCATCCAAAGAAACATTACTACCTTTTAATGCATAATGAAAACCGCCAATACCAGCGAAAAACTCAAGGCATTTCAAAGGTTCTTCCTCCATAAAATTGGTTGGCAGAAATGAAAAATAAACAGACTCAATCTAGTCCTCCTGACACACTAACTTAGGCCACCTTAAGACGCAACTGCATTTTTAGAAAAGTTTGTTGAGCAAAACAATTATTGGCGCAGTGCCACTGACTTCAACTGGACGGCGGGTTCAAAACTATTCAAACGACTGTCGAAGGCATGCACTTCCTCCATTTTGAAATACCCAAAAGACTGTC